GCTAGTTTTGGAAGCAGCAACCTCTTGGCATCTTCTGGAATCTGTTTTTTAAATCGAAGCCTAGATGACTAATCTGCTTTTAATCATGACTGTAATCTACCTCTCTTGTCTTTTTAACCATGCTGTTCTCTGGATCGAGCGAAGCCTGTGGGAAAGGAGAAGACTACCAAGGGTGAAGCTGGTTTGCTGGCACAAGAGTTGCGGCTGTGCAGTACAGAGAGTCGGCTGATTGCATTCGCTCCATATGGTTTGAATAAGCTTAGATTTATCAGGGTTTCTTGAAAGGAAGAATTTCTTGAAACCTCCCACTTCCCTTCATCTGCATCAAATCTTTTTCTGTCCTTGACGTGCCACCTGGTTTGGCTGTGTTGTCTAACCCTCGGTGGCCGTGCGTGGGCTGCAGTGTGCCAAGGCCTTCGTGAGCAGCACAAACAGCCGCCCGGTTATCCTGTGTGACCGGCGGCTGCCCGGAGAGCTGGCCGCCGCCTCAGGAGAGAGTCATCCTTGCAGGCAATTGCTGCAAAGATGGGATCTTGTCCGCAGTTCAAAGGTTTTGCAGGACTTGGCCCAGTGTGGCCTCTGACCTCTTTCCCACCTTTCACTGATTCTTTTAGTTTTGTAAGGATATATGATTTAATCTTATTTTTCAGTAGCTTATCTAAGGTGCAGTTAAAATTGCATTAATTCTGATTTAGCATTTTCACACTTCAGTTGTGGTACAGATATAATATATGAGTTATAATGTGAAAAAGCTTCCCAAAATAATCTGCCTAGAATTAGGAAGGGGCTGGCTGAAGTCTCTACTGTATTTGTTCCCTAGCTTATCTTGCCATCCCAGCCTCGCCATGCAAACCTGGGGCCACCTCTGCTGTCCCTGTGTGGTGCTGAGGCGGGAGAAGGATGTCCTGGTTTGTCACCTAATGCCACTGGAAGAGCGTTTGCCTGTGCTGAGAACAGGAACGATTGTTTCTGAGCCTCATTTTGTGAACTGGATGCCTGTCTTGCCAGATGAACTGTTCTTGCACAGAGATCCCAGGGCTCACAGTGCCCCAGCAAGGGCTCCCGCTCAAGGCAGCAGCTCTCTGGCTGCCTCCTTCCCCTGCTCCGGGCTGCTCCCAGCCCTGTGGCAGCTCCAGCATCGCCCTCTCCTGCCAGCCTTGGGCTGGCCACAAGGAAATGTGTGAGCAGGGGTGGGAAAAGCTGCTGTGGCCTCGGCTGTGGGGCTGGCCCTGCTTTTTGGGGCCAGCTCTTCCACCCTGGTGAGTGCGGGCAGGGAGCGAGTAGCAGATCTATTTGTAGCGTGTTGTTGCCTTCTCTTGCCCCAGGCTGGGGCAGCAGACTGCGTCTAGCCTGGGCCAACCTACAGGTGTCTTTGTGGAGACATAGGGATTGACCTGAAACTCCTTGGCAGCATCGGGCATTATGTCCTGCCTGCGAACTCGCCAAAGCCGCTTGGCAGCGGGCAGGCAGGGAATTGTGAACACTAATACAGACTAGAACAGTTGCACCAACCCCAGCCAGCTGAGCCAGTAGCCTGAAGTCTTAGCCTTATTTATTTTAAAGATGGTAGATCTGTCCTGGCACACTGCAGCGCGTGCCCATCGCTCCCCTGTGCCACCAGCAGTGGAGCAGAGACCCCCAGCCCTGAGTCCCCTGGGGCCTGGACCCCCAGCTGGGGCCCTGCTCTTTCCATCTGGTTTTCTCCTGTCTTGCTCCCACTTCTTTATGTTTTGGTTTTTTTTCCCCAAAGTTAAAGCAATATTCTGGGGACTCTGCAAGGCTGTATCATACCCAGTATTCCTGCACACCGGTCATCGCCAGTAAATTACACTTGTATTAAAGCAAACTGGAAGGGGGGGGTGCGGGGAGGGCAGGAGCGGCTGGGGGGTGTGGGCGGAGGGGCCGCGCTGTGGGAAGGAGCCTGTTGTAAGAAAAAAAAAAAAAAAAAGGAAAAAAATTTGTATAAAGACATTATTTTTGTACTACATCAAAACTACTCCTGCATGACGGCAATAAAACTTCATACCGAGAGCCCGGAGCACAGCGACCCGGTGGGGGTGGGGCTGGGGGGGGCTGGGACCAGGATGGCTTGGGGACATGCGTGGGAGGGTGCAGCGGGGGTGGGCTTGCAGCGAAGTGGCCATGAGGGACCCTATGGGGACCCGCAGCCCTGTCCTGCCCTGGGGGGTCCCAGCTCCCCTTGCCAGGCCCTGCCCGGGGCTGAGCGCCCTGCCCCAGCAGAGCCCGTCCCTCCCGGTCCAGCCCGGGGTCATCCCTGGGCCACTGGGGACAAACGTTGGGCACGGAGTGTTGTGTCCTGGGGGTCCAGCCCCAAGGTGTCCAGGGCTGATGCAGGTGGGGCAGAGACCCCTGCCTGCGCCCTCAGCTCTGCCCGGCACCGCTGCCGCACCGGAGCAGCCCGTGCTGCCGTCAAGCTGCCGGGTGGGCTGCGCCATGGCCTGGTCTGCTCCGTCCTTGCACGGTGCAGCCGGGAGCAGGGCAGGACCCTGCCTGTCCCCAAACCTCCCTGGGGCTGGGTGGTGCCCCAGGAGCCTCTGCACACCCGTCCCTGCGTGGTTACGGTGCAACACATGGGGGGGCTTCGCCAGGTCGAGGCGCAGCCCCGCGAGCCCATGGGGCTGGTTGTGGCCGGGACAGGGTCCGGAGCTGCCGGCCCACAGCCCCGCTCCCTGCTCTGAGGCGGCTCCGCCGCAGGGCCGAGCCCAGCGTCCCGGGGGAGCGGGACGAACCCCGGCCCCGTGCCTCGTTCGGCGTCGGGACGGGGCTGCCATTGGCTCCGGCGGGGAGCGCTGACCGCCAGCCGCCTCCAAAGTATTTCCTGTTGCTGCGGCGTTAATGCTAAACAGACCTTTCTCTCTCTTCCCTCTCTCCAGCCAAAGTGCAGCGGGCTCCTGCCGCCGCTCGCCTTCCTGCCCCGCTCCGGGGCAACCCGCCACCCCGGTGAGTACCAGCCCCGCCGGCCCCTGGGCACCAGCACAGGGGGCTCGGGGGCCGAAGGGGACCGCGGGGCGGACGGGGCACCCCAAAGGACCCCGGCACCCCGCATCCACCCAGCCCCGACGGCCGCGGCGGGATGTCGCGGATCTGCCCCGTCCCCTGGTTGAGATGCTCCGGCGTTGCGCGCGGGGGGGGCCAGCGTGTGGGGACGCGGGGTCTGAGGGCGCGGGGCTCGGCGCGTGGGGATGCGGAGCTCGGGGACGCAGCGGTTGAGGATGCGGGGCTGGGTGCTTGGGGACTCGGAGCTCGGGGACGCAGGGCTGAGCGCTCTGGGGCTGTGCCCGCAGGCGCAGCCCTATCTCGGGGTGGTCCTGCTCTGGTGTCCCTGGGGGTCCAGGGCAACCCCGGCTCCGGCGGTGGGGACTCGGTGCTCTCCCGCCCAGCACGCAGCACCCACCAGGGCCCAGCTCCCTCCGCCTGTCCCTGGGCTCGCTCACACCCTGTGCCCGCTACAGCCCCAGACCTCCACCCTGCCATGGCCCACAGCCACGGGTGCCGAGCCCCCCGTGGCCCCGGGGCCAGCCCTGCGGTGCCCTCGCCAGCAGCCCTGCCACCGGCAGGGCTCCGGGGGGGTCCCTGGAGCCCCATGGCAGGGTTCTGCCCCTCCAGCCCCACAGCGGGGCTGTGCGGCTCCCAGCCGGCCCCCTTGCAGGGGCAGGGGCTGGCGGTGGGGCTGGTCGGCAAGGGAGGACACCAAGACCCTCCTGGGGGTGTTTCGGGGTGTCCTGCTGCGAGGGGCTGCCCAGCCCCGGGACGTGCAGCAGCCCCGCAGCACTGGACTGTCCGGGGACGGTTCTGCTGATGTGTCACATTTTCTGCATTTCATTCCTCATTCCTCCCTCCCTGGAGCTGTTTTCTGGGAAATGAGCTCGTCCCCTGCCAGGGCCAGGCACTGCATCGCCTCCCGTCCTGCCTCCCGTCCTGCCCGCTGCCCAGCCCCACGCCTTGGGGGGGCCACGGCACCCCACAGCTGAGAGGGACCCAGCCCCACACCAGCATCGCTGGGGCAGGGACGGGCTGCCGAGGCTGGTGCTCAGCTGCTTGGGGCCAGGCGGGTCCCTGGGCGGCAGGAGGTGGGTGCTCACCCCCTGCACCCCATCAGGGGCTCAGGCACCCTGTCCCCACGGGGTGTCATGGAGGGAGACGGCACAGGGTGCCCACGTCCCCTCCCAGCTCCCCAGGGCAGGTTCCCGTGGGAGCTGTGGCCGGCACAACTGAGACGGCGCGAGCGGCTTTTCCTCTTGCAGAAGGACCAGCGCCTGCCCTTCGCTCATCCTGCTCCGGGGGCCGCGGCGGGAGCACAGGGTCAGCCCCGGCTCAGCCGTGTTCCCTGCTGCCTGCCAACCTGGCGGCCATTGCACCGTGGCCCGGTCCTTGCCCCTGTGCCGCGGGGCCCCCAGGGCCGCCCGCCGAGGCTGGAGGTGGCCTGGGAGCAACATGGAGGGGGGGGGGACACACATGCTGCCGCAGAAGGGCTGCGTGGGGAGCACACGTGTGTGCATGCACGTGCGCAGGCAGCACCAGCTCCTGCGTGCCCCATGGCTCTGCCTTGCAAGGGTGCGCTGGGACCCCGGCCCCGCTCAGCACTGAGCTCAGCCCCGTGTCCTGTGCCCGTGACCGGGGCAGGGGATAGAAAGCCTGGCCCGGTGCCGCAGATCCGCTTGACGCAGTGTCCTGGAGGAGCCATATCCGTCCTGGTCCTGCCAGAAGGATGGAGGGGTGGTGGGAGCGGGACGGCTCCAGTTCGGCACTTGTGGGGTTCGGCCCTGGATGGAGCAGCCCAGACCGGGAGTCAGCCCCTGCCCCGGCCGGGGCTCAGCGGGGAGCCCTTGGGGCACAGTCGCAGCCAGGCATGGCCCCGAAAAGGGACGTGGGACTCCTGGGGAGGCCCCAGCCCCCAGTAGCACCTTGCTCAGCCCCTGTGTCCTGCAGATGCCGAGCACGTGCCATCCCGGGAGGCGCTGAGCAGGGCCAGGCACAAGATGGAGAGCCGCAGGCGGGATATGGAGCTGCTGAGCAACAGCATGGCCGCGTACGCGCACATCCGAGGTGAGCCAGCCTGGACCTGGCAGGGACACGTCCCGGGGGAACCCTAGGGCTACCGGGGGCCCTGCGGCAGGCATGGGCCAGTCCCTCATCCCCTCTGCTTTCCCCGCAGCCAACCCCGAGAGCTTCGGGCTCTACTTCGTGCTGGGTGTCTGCTTTGGGCTGGTGCTGACCCTGTGCCTGCTGGTGCTGCGCCTCTCCTGCCGGCCCTCCGTGCGCCCCCCACCCCGCCCAAGGGACTTCAGCGAGGACGAGGAGGAGGACGAGGAGGAGGACGAGGAGGAGGAGGACACCGTTGACCGTGCAGCATCCGAGTCCCTGCTGCCGGTGACCGAGATCCCGCTGGACAGCCACGGCCCTGGGGACGGGGCGCTGGCCGTCAACGTCTTCGCCTCGGCGGAGGAGCTGGAGCGGGCGCAGCGGCTGGAGGAGCGCGAGCGCATCATCCGCGAGATCTGGCGCAACGGGCAGCCCGACATCCTGGGCACCGGCACCCTTGGCCGTGTCCACTACTACTGAGTCCCGGCACAGGGGCAGATGCCCCAGCACCGTGTCTGGCTCCCGGTCCCGGGTAGCTCAGCCGACACCGTGCCACCCCTGGGAGCTGCCTAGGATGCGGTCTGGGGACAGGA